TACTTGCCCAGAGTCGCACCAGAAATCTGTGCTTCTGCCAGCCACCGGACCCTGAAAATCTCCCCTACTGGGGTGCCTTAGCCACAAGTCCACTCCCTAAAGAGGAATAAGACTTATGGACCAATTTAGTGCCTGATTTCTGTCGTTTAGACAGTGATCTTCTTGGGAGAGAGCATGCGCCTTCCTCTGCATGTGTGTACTGCACTCGGCCCATCACAGGCACTGCAGAAAACAATACATCCTGGAACAACAAGGACTGGACTTCATCACCATTAAAAGGTCCCTTCGGCGTTTGATTTTTACATGATAAACATCGCTGGCGTCTTTGAAACGCATGCAGACGTGGAGAGAAATTAGCTTGAGTCGGAGGCGACGGTGTAGGTGGCTGGGAAGGGTAGGGCAGCGCACCCATTCCTCGGGCTGCTCCGAAGCTCGCCGGAAGAGGAACGTGGTGTGGGACGCCGGGCTACGGGGCCAGTCCCAAGGCGGGCCGCGCTAGCAGCTCATCACGTTGCAGCAGTGCATCCTGGGAAGAAGGCTCTTTTGGCAAGGCTCTTAGCAGACTTGACACATGAGAGATACCAGGCCCAGATCAGGGGCCTCGCCTTGAAATCTGGACCAGGCAGCCCACGGAGATGGCTTTGGGGAATTCTCTGTTACAAACAGGGAGGGGAATAACCGTAAAGCCAAACCAAATACCGCAGGCCAATCCAGGGTAAACAGAGGCCTTTCAGAGTGGCTCACACAGAGCAGATGGGGAAAAAACGCGGTGGAAATGATACTAAGGAGGAAATATGTAAACAGTGCTGAGCAACCCGCAGATGGAGGGGCTGCGCGGGGAGGGGTGCTTGCCTCGGGACTCTGCCTTCCGTCACGAAGCCCCCCGAGGGGCTCGGCGCGCTCGCACACGGCCCGGTACTGAGGCTGAGGCCTCTCACACAGGCTCGCATTCAGGCGTCAGCTTGGTTTTCATAACACTGTCGGCTTCAGCTCCGAGAACTTGGCACTTCGGACAAGCTCAGCAGTAAAAGTGTCTCGTTTCCTCCTGAAGGGCCGGGCTGTTCTCGCTCCCCGGCCCCCGTCCTCAACCTGCAGCTGCCTGGGGCTCGTGCTGGCTTGGCTTCCTTTTCTTCTTGGTACCACTATATGCTCCCTTTTCTCCCCGGTGGCTGGCACGATCCTTGCCCCCTCTGTGCTATGGGCTTCACAGTCGTGGGAACCGCATTTCTTATCCCGCTCTGCAGCTCACCCCACGCTGCATGGCTGTGGCCAGGCCAGTGGCTCTTTGGGTTGCCTCTGCATGACAGGGCTGGGCAAGTGGCAAGCTGCAATGGCATAAGAGCCCCCCCCCAAATAGTACAACAGCAAAATTAGCTGAGATCTACAGAAATCAAGTCATTCTCCCCTTCTCTGAATGCAGCTAAGAAAGCCTGTTCCTGTGCCTCAAACCACAAGAAAACCCACTTTTTATGGAAGTTTCATTTATTTCACCCCGGGCCTATGCTGCACAACCATCTTGCAAAGAATAAAAGCCCAGTAACAGCACAAGGGTGACGGTGCCTTTTACACTCAGAGCATACTAAAGGCAAGTAAAGCATGAGCACCTGCATGTTGAAACTCGGTCACTGGTGCTAACTGCCCTCTGAGCCTCTCAAAGTCCAGCCCCCTCTTTGGGGTCCTTCGGGGGCTGGACTCCACGATCCTCCGGGGTCCCTTCCAGCCCGAATGTCTATGAAATCTATGAAAAAGTTATGCTGTTTCAGGTGAGGGTTAACTCTGGGCCATGCTACTTAGCTCGTGTTAGGGTAACTTCAGTCTGCTCCACAGAGACAAGCAAAGTTTCAGTCCTCCGGTATCCCAGGATGCTCCTTCGATCGGGGACAGAGCCCGGGCATTCTGGTTCCTAGCCACACCCCTGCTCACCAGCCCTCTAGGGGCAAGTCAGAGCCGTGCAGGCAAGAAGCAGTACTATCCCTTAGCCTGCGACTGTGCACAGCATGGTCCAGCTGCAACGCCATTTCACGTTCCCCAGATTTCGTGGAACTTCACCCTAAACCTGGCTCCCTCGACAAACTACTGCCACCTGGCATCAGGACACTGGAGACTCCCTTAGCTGCTCAAGAACCAGGCACCAGAAGTCGGCTGCATGAAGGGAGAAGCAGCCACCGCCTGATCAACCTTCTGCTGCTCTGCAATCATTAGCACGAGGCAGGTAGTGCAAGGAAACGCAGCCATCCTTGATTAACCTGATGATTAGGAACACCTGTAATCTATTTCCTGGGCATGCCAGGGCTGCACAGGGCAGGAACTGTGGCTGAGCCAAGAAAGGGACTCTCTCCAACATAGCAATGAAGCAAGAAGGGGCAATTTGTGCTGAGCTGTAGCAGAAGATGGCTGCTCATTAGGGCACCGTCTAGCACGATGGGTTGGGAGAGTGGAAGGCAAGAGGCTGTGCGGATCTGCATTTTCCCAGCTGCTCAGGGCCATCAGGATGCCCAAAAGAAGAGGCAGTGACGGGGGGAAAAGGGTGTTTGAGAAGGGGACCCCTCCAGAACAGATGTAAGCAGCTAACAGGTCAGCCTGAAAATAAGTGCGCAGAAAGCCTATGGTCCTACCAACTGTTAGCAATGGCCAAACAGTCACTCACCCTCTGCTGGGGAATATATGGGCTTGCAAACCAAGTGCTGTGACTCTAGAAGAAATCTGACCTGAACAGCAAAAAGCGACCTTATCCCCAAACCCCTAGCATATGCAGCCCATGGCATGTATCCTTGTCTTCCTCTCCACCATTGGATGAACCAGCTATATGCATGCCAGCACCCATTCCTTCAGTCACAGTATGCCTCTGGTGAGATATGTTGGGCTAGTCAAAAGGCAACTCCCCAGGCGATGGGGTAGGTAAGCAATGAGGGGTTAACAGACGCCGGAAAGAGACTGCTTGCAGTCACAGATTCAGGTAGGCAGAAGTGAGCAAGGACTTCTGAACGGTCCCCGCTGCATTGATATTGGACATTCAACTTCTTCAATGGCTAGTTTTCGACAAATAAATTCAATATTTATTTCCCCCAAGTGGCAGGCAGGAGAGGGAAGGAGGAAGAACACTTATTCAATAATTGTACAACCTTCAAGAAAATCCATAAATTACCCAGCTCGATCTGCCACTATAATTTCCAGCCAAAGTCCTAATGAATCTTTCCCAACAATCGTGTAAGGACAGGTCTGAAAATGTATTGGACTTCATAAGCACTTGTGTAAGCAAAGCAGAGGGATTAGCAGAAGCCGTTACCCACCCTGAACTAAAGCTGTGCCACCAGGCTGGGGATCCATGTATAGATCCACCTTCACCTGCTGTTGTAGTACCGGTGAGCTGGATAGCAAAGGAGATGTTCAGTTAGGAGGGATGTGCAAGGCTTTACCTTGGCCAAGCATGTAGAGCAATGGGAAGGTGGATTTGGAGGTCCTAGAGGGACCCAGAGATGGAAAGTAAGCCGCTAGGGTAGGAGAAGGGAAACAGCAGCGAGGAGGATTGAGCAGCACCAAACAGAAGATGGTTTCCGGAGCAGAAGGATAAAGTGGGGTTTTAAAAAGTAGAATGAGTTGGGGGGGAAAAAGGGGTGTGGGTTCCCAGGAGGTACCACAGCAGCGAGATACAGGCCCTTCCCGCGAGCAGGAGGGGGCTACTTCAGAGGACAACCAGGGCCTCAGAAAAGCACAGGGGATGTGGAGATGAGGATTCTTGAAAAGCAGCCTTTTCTAGGTCCCAGAAAGGTGTCTCAGGTCAAAGAAATGATTGTCTTCTTCAAAGGGCAAGATGCCTAAGCCCACTGCTGACCAATCGCCCCCCTCAAGAGCTGCACCCAATAGAAAGAAAAATATCCGCGGGCAAAGAAGGGACTGCAAGCTCTGCGGATTCCCGAATAGACCCTTAACCTCTCCCTAATGCAAGAGTCTTTCATGGAGCCTTTTGGGATAACTTGATTTGGGAAGGCCAACAGTTTATAACACCTTGCATATATAGGATCACTCAGGATGGAAGCCACAAAACCCAAAGACTACTGGGGGGGGCGGGTAATATCTTCTACCTGCAAGAGCCTTTAGAGACTGCTTGAGATCCCAACCCCGTTGTCCAGACAGGTGAGAAAGCCGCTTAAATCGATGGGCTGTTCCTCACCAAGACGCACAATCCAAACGGGTTTCACAGGTTGCGTGGTTGGATTATACACAATTATTCAGCAAAACCTTGACCCTCAGCCCTCTGACTGTTAAGCAGGAGAGAGGGAGAGAGACTGACAGATTTATGATCCAAACTTAACATCCAGATTACATGCAAGTTAATATGCTGGAATGAAGATAAGAGCACAGGCAATGTTTCAACAGGAACAAAATGCGGGGTAGGGGGGTGGGGGACGGAGACTTTAATAAACCACTACTCTAAAAATCATTCCTCGACGTAGTTCACTCAAATTCACCTTCTCCCCTTCTTCTGTGACAAGCATAAGAGAAGGTAATTTAAAATTCAGAGAACAGAGAGAAGGGGAGGGAAGGTGGGATCTCAATGTTTTCCCTATCCGCAAATTTCTACACCGTTTCTACCAATCAATCAATCCGTCTTTAGGGAACATCTTCTCCCTGGAAGCTCTCCATTGAGGGGCTTTTCTGTGACAGATCCCTCAACATTTAGACAGACTATTGCATCCATTAAAATCTTACTCTACTTACAAAGACAGGTTGAAGGCTGCAGATCACTGAAAAATACTTTAATTAGAGCACCTTGTTTCTGGTGTGGGATGCCCCAAGTCAATAGGGGCACAGAGCACAGATTGCCGTCAGGATCAGGATAGCTGAACCGTTGCCTCCCAAAGAAACGATTATAAAGCTGCCAAGACTCTAACAAGGAGTCCAATTACACTTTGAAGTCGCCAATACTCTGTAAAACTTTTTTTTCCCTTTCCCTGAGAATATTTTGCACTTCAAATGCTATTCCCACAGTGAGGATTTACCGCTTCTCAATTTGCAGCTCGGCTTCCATTGCCGGGCGGGATCACGTCATGTCATCCGCAAGTTGCTCCGGAGACTCACCGAGACGGTCCGTGGCCCTCCTCGCCATGAGTTATCCGAGCACCTCAGTTTCTGCAATGCATTTAAATGTCACAAGGAGGGAGGGAAGGGATTTTACCCCCATTTCACAGATGGGGAACCGAGGCACAAAAGAACTAAATAACCCTCCCAGTGTCACACAGGAAGAAGAGAAAACTAACTAGGTCTGTCGAATTGTGGGTAGTGACCCTAAACGTTGATCCTCCTCCTTCATTTCTTTCTTGGGAAGAACCTCTCTCTCTAGAAACTCCAGCTACTACTGCCCGTACCCCCAAGTCATAGAGCAGCGGGGCTGGAAGGGACCTCCAGAGCTCATCTAGTCCAACCCCCTGCTGGATGCAGCAGCATCCCTATCCAAACCAGCCCATACAAACATTAATCTAAGCTCAGACTACTTCTTTACAGAGCTCTTGAAGGCACAAAAAAAAATGGCACTCTCTCCAGCACTTGAGCCACTATCACGTTATGGGGAAAATGTGGCTGTGGTATCTCATGGGAGATGTAGTCTAGCTAAGCAGCCAGCTCCATGCAAGGCAGAGGAAGCTTAAATGAACCCAAACTCCAACGAGGCACTGCAACACTATAGGGAGGACACCGCTTACCGCCACACCAACCACAAGTGGAGGCAGGAGGTTTCAAAGTGAACATTTTTTACTTCGGAAATTCCCAAAACGGTTTGAACAAGAAGTGTCAGAAAACCCAGCTATTTCGCTGCTATATCAAGTACCACATTCTCGCACATGCAAAAGTCACCTTTAAAAAGAAACCCCATCAAAACTGGGTGCTAGAAATTGGTGCGTGTTATATTCAGGGAAATACGCTAATAGTGGTCTTTTTTTTTTCCTCTGTCCCTTAAGTGTGGAGTAGGGGAAAAGCAAAAAGCAAAGTCTGCACTGGGAGCAGAAGGATGAGCGGCAGGCTCTTCTCCCTCTCTGGGAGCCATGGGGCTCTTCAGCCTGGAAAAGCGCAGGCTCAGGGGTGATCTGGTGGCCACCTATAAGTTTATCAGGGGTGTTCACCAGGATCTGGGGGAACGTCTGTTCGCCAGAGCGCCCCAAGGGATCTAACGGTCACAAACTCCTCTGCAACCGTTTCAGGCTGGACGTAAGGAAGAACTTCTTTACTGTCTGAGCCCCCAAGGCCTGGAACAGGCTGGCGCCGGAGGTGGTACAAGCACCTACTCTAGACTCCTTTAAGAGGCAAGTGGACATTTATCTTACTGGGATCCTGTGACCCCAGCTGACTTCCTGTCCCTGGGGCAGGGGGCTGGACTCGATGATCTTCCGAGGTCCCTTCCAGCCCTAATGTCTATGAAATCTATGAGATGTACAAGCCCATGGTCCCACTTTAAGTACCCCTGAAGCATCAGATAAAACTTTCCCCGGACAATGAGGGGCTCATTCAAGTTAACCGACATTCGAGCTGGGTGTGTTAATACTGGATGACGTTTAATGCTCCACCCCACTCCACACACGTGTACCTGTTTAGCCCGGGACAACCAGACCCAGGAGAAACCTGATGTCTGTTTTTACCCTCCGTTAGAAAAGAGCTCTCCTTGCAGTTTCTTTGTTCTGCCTTTCACAAACAAAAGTAGGCATCTTATTCTGGGGTGAGAAAATAATCCTATTCGTTTAATTCCTGGATATACCTCAACCTTTTATCTGAATTTAAGAGAGAAAGCAAGCTTCAAAAATATCAAGACTTCTAGGCCAGAAATTCCAATTCGACCCGTTGCAGAAGTTACATACTTTGAACCTGAGCTGTTCCCAGCATTCCAGGTCTTGCAGTTTGTTTCTATAAGGAAGCAACCTTGATGATGTGGTCAGCTTGCCTTTTTTTTTTTGGACACAATCCTGGGTATTTACAAAGAAGGTATGCAAAGTCTCGATTCCCAGAACATGATGGGAATCATGCAGCAGAAGGCTGGTTTTTTGGTCCCAGTCCCCAGGTCTTTTTCTGGCCCGGACTTTGTTCTCTCTCATTATGAATCGTTTGTGGGCGCTCTCTGGAATCTCCTTGCCGGCTTGTGTTTGAAGTGTTCCTATTCCAGTGGTTTTCAAACTCTTTAGACTCAAGGCTTCCCCTGGAAAATGCCAGCTCTTTGCTTTCATGTGTAGCCTGGGTACAGTCAATGGTGTTCCCTATTCTCATTCGGATGGGATGGGTAGGCAGGAGGGGATGCTGTGAGGGATGCCAGAATTTCAAGCAGATCCCTCGTTCCTCCACAAAGTTTGGCCAAGCCCCAAGTTCTTAACTATATACAATTTATTAAGTTATAATATACATAAACAGAAAACTAAAATATCACAAAGAACACTAACCAAGGTCAAACCCTAAATAACACTATTTACAACATCACAATACAACATTTCAATTACAAAATATTTAAGGCGCAAAACATGAACAATCTTAATAACATCTATTCCTCAATATAGTCCCTGACCCATGGCAAGAGATAGTCCTTCTTCCGATGGGGTCCCTTGGGGGGTGTCCAGGAAGCACCAGGGGCCCCTCCCCTTACGGCCTTGACTAGGCAGGGGGCTGCTCCCCCAGCCCCTTCTCCGGGTTTGCCTGCCCCAAACGTCTTTCCCCGGTGGGGCCCAAGGGCCCAATAACTCACGCTCCCTCGTGGGGGTGGTCAGGGCACGCCTCGATGGGGTCTCCTCTGCTGGAGCGCCTCCCCAGGACTCTCCCACGACGCTGGGCTCCTCCCCACCCTGTGCCCCGCTCTGGGCACCGAGGCACAATACAGGCACCCCACTCCCACAGCTGCTCTTCCAGGGGCGGCTTCAGGAGCCTTAGGCGTATTGCCCGCTGGGGGAGAGCTCCCCAGCTTTTCTCGGCTCTGCTCTTCGAGTCCCTCGCAGCATCTCCCCTTGTGCTGGGCACACCGCTCCTTTTATACGCTCGAGTCTCTGCCCCTCAAGTCTTCCAGACCTGATAGTTCGCAGTCTTCAATCAGGTCCAGGGGAGCTCTTCTCCCCCTCCCCTCAGGAAAGGGGCGTGACTTTATTTCCCCTGCTGCCTCTTGATTCGGTGGAGCCCCTCCACCAATCAAAGACAGCAGGATCTCAAGCCTGGGACTCAACCCAAGCTCTGAAAGGGGAGCCTCCTACACGCGCTTTTTCTAACTATGGAAAAATACCAGAGCAATTCTTCTGCGGCAAAGCACTCCAGCAGACCACAAGAGTTCATGATTATTTTGGACACTACGGATCCCTATTTGAAATTT